CTCTCTCTCTCTCTCTCTCTCGTGTTTGTTTGTTTGTTTGACACAGGATTCTCTGTGGCCCTTGCTATCCTAGAACTGGCTATGTAGACCAGGCTGGCATCAAACTCACCAAGATCTCTAACCTCCTCCTCCTAAGTGCTGGGACTAAAGGTTTATGCCACCATGCCTCTGAGTCAACACTTTTGACCCAAGCATTTGTTTGCCTGAGTTAGCTAAGGATAGCTCAGTTGCTAATTTACATTATACCTTCTAAAATATTCTTACTGTTACTGCTTATTGTCAGAGTTGCACCTCTTTTTATGGTTTGTTTGTTTTAAGTTTTAGTGTTTTATGTATATGCATGCTTTACCTTTACGTATACATTTGTCTGCACCATGTGTGTGCCTGATGCCTATGGATGTCAGAAGAGAGCATCAGATCCCCAGGACCTGGAGTTACAGTGTCGTGAAACATCATGACGTGCTGGGAACTAAACCTGGATCCTCCAGAAGAGCAGCCAGTGTTATTAACTACTGAGCCCTCTCTGCAGCCCCAAATCCTGCCTTTAAAGACAAGTTCTGTAACATCATAGGCATGGTGTATCAAAGGGAAGCATAAGCTAACGTGACAATCCTCCTGTCACAGAAAGTTCCTGGCACTTGACAGTAACAAATGTTGACAAGAGTAGGCTCTATACTGCCTTTCTAAACAAAAAAATGAATGAAAAGCCTTGCTATGGAGGGTTTTTTTTTTTTTTCTATTTTTAGTACTGTCTTCTGAACGTCATTCTCAAAGATTTGGAACACATATGTCTGCCAGCAAAGTTGTACCTGAGGGCCGGGCTGCAGGGGCTCTTCTAAGACAGAAGACACCACTGAAGAAACCTGACCCTCAGAGCAGCAAGGGTGAGGATGTTGATCGGACGTTTTCAGATCGTCTTGAAAGCAGGTATCTCTTTAATGTGTACTCTGAGTTTAATGGTATTGACGTGAGCTCTCGTTTCATATGGTTAAGCTGGGAAAGTATGTCAGCCATATGTCTTGCTCTTTTCTGAAGAAACAGACTTCAGATTTCAGGTTGGAACCAACTCTGGTGTTGGTAGTCATAGCCACTGAGGTAGGATTGTTTCACCAGCAATTTGAAACTAGCCTTAGCCACACCGCCTGTCTTAAATGATAGCACCAAGACTGAAGTTGGTAAGTGGCCCTGTTGCAGTTGGCAGAAGTTACCGTGCAGTACACAGGAGAGAAACACTGTGGTAGCCTCTGGTGCTTTTAGCAGATCTCGGCTCAAAACCAACCGTGTGACGACGTGCCAGCTGTGAACATTTGGGACAAGTTCATTAGCTCAGCTTCACTGTCCTTGTCTGAGAACAGGAGCGCTCTGCCGTTGCTGGGGTGGTGAGGAGGCACATACTTTTGTACAGTCTGTATAGAGAGAAAGTGCCTACTGTGTGCAGACAACCTAGACATCGCTTTAGGTCATTAACTAGACAACTCTTACGGTAGCCATGCCAGGTACTTAGCTTGTAATTGCTCAGACTGATCCATTCTCTACACAATTGCATCAGCATGACCTAAGCCGTCCTTACAGTGACTCACAGATAAGTGTGCAGCTCATCTCAGGGGGAAAGGAACCTTAAACAAGTAGGAAATTGTTATCTGATTTCTGGAGAATATGTTGGGCTTGTTACTAATCTAAAGTTTGGAAAATGTTGAACATTCTTCATTTCAAAAACATACCACTAAATAAGGCATGGGGCAGGCCCTGTGGGTTAAAATAGAGGAGGCAGTTCTTAACTATTTTATAATGTCTTTTTAAACTTTTGATATGTCAAAAGCATTTTCATCCTTTAAGGGCCACAAAAATGCTTTTGGTATTATAAAAATCTGTGTTTTGTAAGATATCAATTTATTATCTTGCTACATTGTATAATTTATAGTTTATTATCTGTATTAGGAAGATCTGTGATAGCAGTTGAATCATATTTGTCCCTCCCAAAATGAGATTCTGGGGCCACCAAGATAGTTCAGTGGGTAAGGCACTTGTTTCACAAGCCTGTGGCCTTTACACACATTCACACACAGACAGACACAAACATCTTATAAGAAAGCATTTTAAAAATAAATAACTTTGAACCAGGCAGTGATGGTGCACACCTTTAATCCCAGAACTCAGGAGGCAGAAGCAGGTGAATCCCTGTGAGTTCAAGGCCAGCCTGATCTATAGAGTGAGTTTCAGGACAGCCAGGGCTACACAGAGAGACCCTTTCTTCAAAACAAAACAACAACAACCAAAAAAACCCAACTTTGCAATAAGTGGTTCTTTAAGATTCATTTTATTTATGTGTGTGGGTACTCACAGATTCCATGTGTGTGTGCTACATGTGTATGGGTACCCGCAGGGGCAGAGGAAGTTTTCAGATTTCCTGGAGCCTGAGTTACAAGCAATTGTAAGTTGACCAACATGGAAACCAAACTTTCCTCCTCCATAAAAGCATAAACTCCATTTCTCTGGAAGAGAATATTTTTAAAACAAACTTCAAGAAATAGAATTACATTCTGTTTAATTACTTTGAGTATGTAGATTCATGCATGCATGCTGTGACGTGTGTTGAAGGCAGAGGGCAGCTTTCAGCAGTCAGTTCTCTCTTCCCAACATGTGAGTGAGTTCCAGGGGTGAACTCAGATCATCGGGCTTGGTGGCAGGCTCCTTTACCTAGGGACCATCTTGTTGGCTCCTGAAGAGATTATGACAGATAAATTTTCTTAATTCATTTTTTATTAACATACAAAAGAATGTGTTTGGTTGTGACATCTTCATGGTTCTGGTTTTTGGTGGTCCTGGGATTGAATGCAGAGCCTTCACATGCTAGGCAAGCACTCTGCCAGCCCTATACTTTGTTCTTCTTTTCAGTTACATTTTTATTTATGTTTATTCTGTCTCTGTGTGTTTGTGGGCACACACATACTCAGATCTGATCTCTACTTACATTTAGGATTAAAATATATTGAATTACGCTATCCAGTAAACATAGCCAGCCTGCAGGCTTGATAGCACATCTGTAGTTCCACACTTAGGAAGCTGAGGTAGGAACACTGAGAAGCCAACCTGGGTTATATAGCAAGACCTGTCACACAGAACACAGCAAAGCTGCCCACACAGGAACGGAGCTGCTTTGCTTCAGAACTCAGCCTCGCCCTGACCTGTTCCTAGTTGTGGCTCTGGATTTAGCTAAGATTCAGCATTGCAGGTAGAACCATATTAGCCTGAGTGATTGGCATGGAAAGGAGCCTGTGAGCTTCCAGGGAAAGAGGACATCATCTTTGTGGCCATCATACAATAACTGTCTAGTCTGTACAGATCAGCAGGCTCCTGGGTCAGGCTCTGTGTTCAACCCCATTATGCAAACTAGTGGTCTCCATGCAGGATGGACTCAAAGCACAGGTCGAATGATTGTGAAATGTTTCATTATTGGTGTATAATATCACTGCTTGTTTCAGATGCAGCCATGTAGAAGATGCCCTGTGTCCTGGAGAACAAGATTCAAGTGAAATAGAGCATGTAAGTCCTATTGCAAGGTCACCACCAAGGTAGCCAAGGGTATCATCTGTTTATGCCAGGCACTTAATGGAGACACTAACATGCAGAGTCATCATCCTCGTTTGCATGTCCCCCGGGTTGTTTGCATGCTGTCTTTGTATTCTTCAGGCTACATCAAGATGACTGCAGAACCAGAGAATTAGAGAATCAGTGATCTCTGGTCTCTTTAGAGTTCTTTAAGAATGTGTGTTTTGCCTGCCTGTGTATCTATGCCCTGTGTGCGTAGTCTCCTGGACCTGGAATTACAGAAGGTTGTGAGCTGCCATGTGGGTGCTGGGAAGAGTAGCCAGTGCTCTTAACCACTGAGCCATCTCTTGCCCTGGCCTTTATTTTTGGACCAAACTTGATGATAATAGTAGCTATACTCGTCTGTGTGTTATACGTGCTTGCCTTTACTGTGTAGGAGCCCTCTTGCCCCAGAGTCCTGGGTAACATCAAGCCCGGTTTGCTCTTGTAATTTACTTTCCCTTCCTACTCTCTGGGCTGAGTGGGTGCTTGCTGAAAAGGCTGTCTTCATTACTGTGTTCTCTATGATCTGTGCGGCTGTCGTGAAGCAACACAGTGGGACTCAGGAGGTTCCTTAGACTTTTTGTTTTGTTTTTTCCAGATACGGTTTTTCTGTGTAGCTCTGGCTATCCTGGTACTTGTTCTGTAGACCAGGCTGGCCTAGAACTCACAGAGATCCGCTTCCCTCTGCCTCCTGAGTGCTGTCTTGCATTCTTTATATTTTTTTTAATATGTCAGTCTTCTGTTTTTCATATATTTAATGGCAGTAAAACTTTTTTTCATTTTCATTTGTTTCAATTATGGGTGATTAGAATATATAATGCCTACTTTTTACCTCTAGGATGTAAATAAGATAAATGTCAAGATGGATTGTTTCTCTGTTGAAACGATGAATTTGCCTCTTCCTGCTGGTGATGCTGATACTAACCAAAAAGAAGCAGCCTCAGCTGAGGAAGGAGTGGGTTCCGCAGTTACCTCCCAGGATGTGCTGATGAGTAACCCTGAGACAAGTGCCTGCTCACAGAGGAACTCCTCACAAGAAGCAGCTGAGGTGTCCCAGTCAGGTAAGGTCTTCTCAGATACAGTGAAGTCTGGAAACAAAGTGTCAGTGTAGATGACTGTTGGAGAATTCTGAGAACCAGGTTCTCATGATGAGGGATAAACTATTAGAAGCTCACTATAGCTGTCTCATACAAACTAGTTTCAGAATACTTTGTTATTCAACCAGCTGTGAAGGGCCATGCTTATAATCCTAGCAAAAGAGAAACCAAGGCAGGAGGATTACTCCTAATTCAGGGCCAGCCTGTACTGTACACAGTGTTCCAGGCCAACAAGAGCAATACAGTGAGATCTTGTTTCAAAATGGGAAGAAAAAAAAATGTGGTTCTTGTGAGGCTAAGGCTTCAGAGAGAAATGCTGACCCCACTGGAGCTGAGGACCTTTGACGGTAGACCTGATCTCTATCAGACTCAGGAAAACTCCTTCAGCTGTCTTCTTCAGCACACATCCAGAAACTACCTTCAGAATATTCTGTTTTCCTTTCTAATGCCTGTTGCTGTGTACTGTGTTGTGATTGTTCTATAAAGGGAACTGGGCCTCATGTTTGTGTTACAATGCAATTGTGGTCTATTTTCCTCCACTATTCTGTAGGCCTGTCAGAGACCTAAGGCAAAGTGAAGTGTTAACAGCCATGCACAGTCATTTAATGTCTTTTACCCAGACTTCTTTTGTGTGATATATGATCTCACTATGGAGCCCTGCTAGCCTGCAACCCACTGTGTAGACCAGGCTGTCCGGGACCTCATGTAGATCCACCTGCCCTTGCCTCCTAAGTGCTGAGGTTACAGGTGTGTGCCACTAACCATACTGGCCTGTCTGTTCCTCTTCAGCAACTTGGGTACCCTTAATATTACAGGTATGGTACTTTCTTACAGAAGATTCTTTTTTTTTTTTTTTTTTTTTTTTTTTTTTGGTTTTTCAAGACAGGGTTTCTCTGTGTAGCCCTGGCTGTCCTGGAACTCACTCTGTAGACCAGGCTGGCCTCGAACTCAGAAACCCGCCTGCCTCTGCCTCCCAAGTGCTGGGATTAAAGGCGTGCACCACCACCGCCCGGCTTTACAGAAGATTCTTAAAGTTCAAGTTTTACCTGAAATCTAATTGCATTTAAACAATGTGACACAGCTAGGTGTAGTAGGTCTGTTTTTTCATTTGATTGATTAAAGCTTTGTCTACTTGTGACAACCCTTGATCAAAGCAATGTTCTTTTAAAATCATTTCTCTTATTTTTCAGTACTGTTACATAAAAGCCTCACTTCTGAATGCCACCTTCTTGGTCCAGTAAGTTTTCAGCTTAATTCAGCAAGTTCCTGTATAGTCTAGATTTGTACAGTTGTAAAGTTGTTTTGAATGTGTCTTATTTATGGTTATTATGAGGGTGTGTGCATGCCCCAGCATGTGTGGAGGTCAGAGGACAGCTTTGGGGAACCAGTTTTCTTCTTCTGTTGGGGTTTCAGAGATGGAACTAAATTCAACAGCCCTTTAACCTGGTGAGACCTCTCAACCACCCTGTTTGGTTTCAAAATAGGGAGCAAGCTGGCCTCGAACTGTCTTCTCTGGTTCTGAGATTACAGGTGTCCCAGTGCTAGCTTTGTTTTATAAAACGAACAGTACTCACTTTCCAACTTGAGTGCAAGGTTTAGAATGTGTGTCTTCCCTTTATCTGTAAATGGGTTGAATTTTATACAGGATCTGGTCTGAACATGGAAGAGGGCTGGAGGGATGGCTCGGAGCACCTGGGTTTAATTCCCATAGTGTTCATAGTCTTCTGGCCTCCGTGTGCGGAGCACCCAATACATAAAATAGATATTTTTAAAAATTTTTAATTGAGAAAAGGCTTCAATAATCATATAGTCTAATTAGTCTTAAACCCTGACGGGTATCTTGCTATTCAAATCTGATAGGACACATTGGATGAGAACTTACATGTCTAATGAGTGGCTTAGATTATGGAAGATATTTTTTAAGTTATGCAAGTCTTTATAGTAAAGTATATTTAAAAAGAAAATACAACATATGCTTGCTGCTCTGAAAAGCCAGAGTGTGGTAGGCCATGTCTGTCCCCATTGCAGGCCTCCTTGGTTGTGTTCACCCTGAAATTCTTTACTCCAGCTATGCTCTGCTGTGGAGTCTTTATTGGGGGGCAGGGGATGAGATGAGATTTCTATGTATAGTCTTGGGTGTCCTATAACTCACACTGCAGACCAGGTTGGCCGCTCGACATCCGCCTGCTATGGTGACACGAATAAAAAATAAAATTTAAAATTCTTTATATTAGGTCTTACATTGTTGTCAATGTCATTGTTACATAGGGAAACCTATTTATTCTTTGGCACTCAGTTAACTAAGGGTATAGAAAGCTTATTCGGCGCAACTCTTAATGGTGGATTCCTGCTCTGCTCTGTTCTTTAGCCAGGCCTCAGCTACACCAGCCCCTGCACTGAGGAGACAAGACTGCGAGATCGCGGCAGACAGTTCTCCTTTGGAGGTGACCTCATTGTCTTCTCACCACTAAGACCTTGAAGAGAAGAGAACAGCAAGAGGACTTTTAATTTAAACATAACTGCAAACATTCTTTTCTTCACATTGTTAATTCTCTAATACATCTCTTTTTTTATTAAATATCAAATATTGTATAAATCAAAAGGGGAGGCAATCTCCTCATGGAAGGGTGCCTCTATTATAATACACACAAACTACCATAATCCTAGAGAAGAATAGAGTGCTTGATTTTTTTTTTTTTTTTTTTTTTTTTTTTTTTTCGAGACAGGGTTTCTCCGTGTAGTTCTGGCTGTCCTGGAACTCACTCTGTAGACCAGGCTGGCCTCGAACTCAGAAATCCGCCTGCCTCTGCCTCCCAAGTGCTGGGATTAAAGGCGTGCGCCACCACCGCCCGGCTAGAGTGCTTGGTATTGTCTGTAGATGCTACATTCATTTACCAGCTCAGAGGAAGACCTTGCCTTTCCAGTGTGTTTCAGCCCTGTAGGTGATTGAGATTTCCATGCTCCATTCACTTAGGATTTCATCAATCCCCAATACTCAGCTTCCATTTCTCTCTTCCACAATCAACCGTACAGTAGTTATATTTTAAAAAGGCAACTTTGGGTCTCCGGATTATAAGCATAGTACCCACCACACTTAGAGCATTGGGTTGTTTCAAAGGTGACCTTCTTAGGCTTTCTTTTGACCCTGAGTATATCCAGGAGCTCAGAACAAAAGTTTTCAAATCTGTGTGAAAGTATTACACCCCTGTCATAGCACTCCAGAGGGGCAGGGTATGCCTCCTTTTTCAGTTGGCTTAGCTGGGCTGTGTGGTGTAGAAGTTCTTTCAGGAAAAGCAGAGAAAACTCATTTTCATGGAATCGGACAACTCTGAGATAGGAACATTGGCTTAGGGCAGACAGCAGTGTATTGAACTGAAAGTCCTGCATACCACATGACTGTAATTCCAGGTATTCCAGGGTATGTCTAACTTTCTCAAGGAAAAACCCAAGAGGCTCAAGAAGTAAATGATGGAAATTAATATTAGCTAGTTTTAGAGATTTGAGCTCAAAAATATTTAGGCAATTGGTCAGGCAATCCATGTCTGACTGTGAAAGGTAACAGTTAGTGATGCTAAGTGACTCCAAGGGTTTCTTCAGGCACCTGGGGAAAGAAAACATTATTGCTTTATTGCTTGCTGACAAATGGTGTTAAAGAGGGTTGATAGGATTGACAGCTAAGCAGATGACATTTCTCCCAAACTCATTCTGAATGCATATTGAGAACCCTCAGGACATGGCCTTTTGTTTTCTGCTCACATACCTCACAGCATTCTAGCGTGAGTCCTTAAGATATCACCATAGGCATGATTGGGGCCTGACAGGAAACCACAGCAATGGATAGATCAGGACCACATGGTACCTGTAGGGAGGACTAACATCCCCAACAAAATTCAACAACTTCCTAATGCTGTTTTTAAGAGTTCTACGAGGTTTTGTTCCTCCAAGTTGCAGGTTCCTGTCTTCACCTTGAAACCCATTGTCCCATATTTCTCATCTACTCAATCTGTTTCTAGACTCAAAACACATAAACAATAAGTTGCTAATGCCTGTTCATACAGATCTTAGCACAGGCTCATTGGCTCAATATGCTGTCTCTAACAGTGATAGGTTTCTGTTTGCCAGACCATAAAAGCTTCCATAGCTTGAAAAAAAAGAAAAGAAAAGAAACAAAACCACATCAAAACAGAAACAAAGAAAAAATGTTTTCTCTGGTCTACAATTGGACCCTTCCCTACCTGAGGAATTTTTTCAGGTTGCCAAATATAAAGGAGACAACATTTATACAGAGTCTCTGGAGACAGTGGAATGTGGAAAGTAGAGAAATTTCAGAGTCACCCACGTTTAGCATATCTGTGGTATGACAGTGTGAGATATAGAAGATTGTTCATCTGTCTCAGGTAGAGATTAAGAAAAGCCGAATCTTTTATGAAGACATAACTTAGAATCAGCTTCTATATACAGTGTGCATGTACAGTTTTGAAGATTTCTTTGTCTTTGGTTAAGCCCTGAATCTTCAGCTTTCTACAACATAGATGAATCGAATCTTTTCTCTGTTGGGCCCACTGCAACAAGTAGGTGGTAGGTAGATTCATCAAGTCTGCCCTCCGTGAATTGGAGTTGTGTTATCACCTTCAATGCTTTCTTCACCCCACAGTCAGGACTAATCTGCACTGACTGTTTCTGTGTCATGGATCCTGCTAAACCTTCATGGGATCCAGCCCATATGCCATACAAGTCATGATACTCATTCTTCCAATTGATCTGAGTTTGCACCTACTTTTGTGCAATCAGTATATCTAGTCCCACAAGCATAGCCTTCAAAGTCTCCAGGTTGAGGTTATCATTCCTCCAGAAAGGTATGGGCTCTCTGATACATCTTAAACTGTTGGAAGCTGTGAAAATATGCACTGATATTCACTTCTAATTGGTCTGTTTATATTGCATTACACAGTGTTGTAATGGTCCCTGTTCGTGGAGACATTTTAATGATGATACTATAAAAACCCTATAGGTTATTTAAAATATTAAACATGAACCAAGGTTTTGCATCTGCATGCTCATTTTATGGATTTTCATTTGAGCACCTGTATCTGTTGACATCAAATACTTAGTTTTCCTGTATTCCTTTAGATGAGGTTTCCTGATGGCCCGCTAATGAGTGATGGCAAGTTATGGGTTGGGGAATTGCCTGATGGGTAAGGACACCAAACCTGATAGCCTGAGGTCAGTGCCCGGAACCTGCATGCTGGAAGGAGATGTTCTTGTCCCTTCAGTAGTGATTGCAAGTGCTTGCTTTTACAGACCTCTTGATTTCTGATTTTCCCAGGACGCCACCTTGTGACATTCCCCACTTTAAACTATTCGAGAAGATAACGTTGTAGAACAGAATTTTGACCTTTTCCTACTTTGAGCTTGCTGCTGATAGGAAAGAAAGAAAGTGTTAGGTATGAGAATAGACGTAGGGGCGGTGGTGGCGCACGCCTTTAATCCCAGCACTTGGGAGGCAGAGGCAGGTGGATTTCTGAGTTCGAGGCCGGCCTGGTCTACTGAGTGAGTTCCAGGACAGCCAGAGCTACACAGAGAAACCCTGTCTGGAAAAACAAAAACACTTATTTATTTGGGGGAAAGGTGCACATGCCACAACACGAGTGAGGAGGGCAGAGGACAACTTGTGGAGTTGGTTCTTTCCTTCCACTACAGGAGTCCCAGGAGAAGAGCTCAGGTCATCAGTCTTGGCAGTGTGCACCCTTGCCTAGTGAGCTACATCATTAGCTTAACAATAATATAATTTTAACAAAGATAACTAACATCTGGGGGCTGGAGAGATGGCTCAATGGTTAAGAGCACTCGCTACTCTTCCAGAGGACCCGAGTTCAATTCCTGCCATCCACATGGTGGCTCCCAACCATCAGGTGGCTCACAACTCTAGCTCCAAGGGATCCAATGCCCGTTCCATACGTGTATATATATAGCTTATAAGTAAATAGCATCTGCTAAGCGTCTTTTGTGTTTTAGATGTCTCTGATTCACTCCTTGCAATAAATAACCTAATGATGAAGATGTTACTACCATCTGCCATGGAAACAGAGCAGAGAAGGTACCAAGGAATGCTCAGCGTACTTAGAGCTCTAGGAGACAGAAAGCTGCTGCGTTACCGTGGAGACACCTGCTGGGGAAGAGAACTGACAGCTCATGCTATCCTGAAGAAGCCAGTGGGAGAACAGTGAGGGGATGTCAAATCTATGCATTGCCTGTGATTTGTTAAGGCAGGTATGAGCAGGCTAGCCCAGGCTGGGTGCCCACCTGGACAACACCCGCTTTTTGGTCTCCTTGGCTCGAACCTTCCTTAGCAGGTCTTCCAGCTTGCTTGATTCCTCAAAGTGAACCCCGAGGTCCTCATCCTCAGCGGTGCTGATGATGTCTCTGTAGAACAAGGATACATTGAAGCCCTCTCGCTTCTTCAGGTGCATCAAGTCAAGGAAGATCCCTGATGTGAAGACAGATTAAAACCAGGGATAGCAAAGTACAGAAAATGAGAATTATTGTTTCTTCTTTTGAGAGAGAACTCATTATGTAGACCAGGCTGGCCTGGAATTCAGAGATATATCTGCCTCTGATCAAATGAGTATGCTACCATACCAGGCTAAGTTTGTTTATTCTTATGGGGGGGAGAGGATGGTGTCAGGCCAGATGTGGTGATGTATATTATA